GATTCTCCTGCTTCGGCCTCCTGTGTGCTGGAGGAACAGGCCTGCACCACTTCCCCAGGCAAGAGATTGCTGACTTTCATTATACTCTTTGTGAGAGTGCTTGATTCTTTAAACTACAAATTTGTATACGCTTGATACTAATAAATACAAAGTAAAATAAGACTTTTGTATGTTGTAGTCTTTCCAGTTGTATGGATCCAGCTTGATGTGACTGCAGCCTACCAGGTATCCTTGGCACCCATTCCAAACTCTATGGCATAAGCAAACATGAAAAGACAGCCCAAATCTCCAGCAACACACACACACACACACACAGAGTTTGCTGTTGCATTTCATAAGGAAATAACTCTGCCGCGATGTCCAGGTGACAGGTACATATTCACATAGTTCACGCAGGCAAGTGCTTGAACTGAATCTCGTCGCATAGCCAAGCGCTTTGTGATCTTTCTCAAAATGGGAGAGGGTGGAGGCTTATGAAGGGCCGCCATGGGTCTCCCTGCAGCTCTCCTCTGACAGCTCCTTGTGGCCTTGGTGCTGCTGGCAGACACTGCTTTCTGCCGACTCTGGAATGCTACAAAACTGCAGTCTGGCATTGGCTTCTCAGTGATGGAGCACAGAGCACCCCGCATCTTGCACTGTGGCTATTGGCTCCATCTGTGTCAGTGTCATCCATTTTTTGTGTAGCACGACGACCCAGGAAGTTGGCTCTTTCTCTTCCTTTTGTTCTCTAAGTCATAAACCGAATGTAAAAATGGGCTTAGAACTTTATGGGATGAATAGCTCAGGCCTTGGTTTTGTCTGCTATTATGTGCTTAATTGGTTTAGGATTTTATTCAGCCATGCAAATTGTTAAATTTTTGATGAAATTAAATACATGAATGTTTTCCTTTAGGTGTGGTGAGTTTTATGTCATACTTCCCCCTATAAGATTGTAAAGTTTTCATTGGGAAATTTTTGCAGAAAGGTGTGTAATTATTCTTCTCCTAATGAGTTGAACAGAGAGTTGATGAGATTCTGGATAATTTTGTGATACACTCCCTGAGGACTTTTGAAGGCCAGACCTGTTAAGGATTAAACAGCTCAGAATTCCTGGACTTTAAGAGGGGAACATAGCCACTGAAAAGGTAGTGTGGTCTCCCAGCATTAGCCACAGAGGGACACTTTTCTAGACCTGAATGGGTGAGGGGAGAGAGCTATTCATGGAACCCATAAAAGTTATGGTTGCTACTAACTATAGCTCAAGGTCTATGTCCTCTGGAACCTGCAGGAAGGCGTTCCTCACAACCAGTGTCAGCAGGCAGAAATATTCTTACTCCCTGATTAATGCTTCCCATTGGCTACACCCAACCGGAAGCCAGTGAGCAAATAGCTCTTTCAGGCAGTTCCAAAAGGTGACTTCCGGTGGGGGCATACAACTGAGTGGGTAATGGTGAGAACAGATCTAGGGAGACAAATGCAGAGCACCTAGCCAACACAGCCTTTTCATTCTTAGCATATAAGATGTATTAATAGACCTTATTTCTTAGAGAAATTTTTTAAGTTTACAGAAAAACTAAACAGAAAATAGAGTTCCCATCTACTCCCTCTCCTCCCACACGCACATTACTATTACTAAGGTCTTGCCTTAGTGTAGTATATTTGTTATGAATCAATTTTGAAACATTTATTATTATTTTTAGCTAAATTGTTTATATTATGGTTTATTCTTTGAGTTGGACAGCTCTATCACTCTTGAGGTTTTCTTTTTCATTTTTTAAATTTTTTTATTTTTTGAGACAGGATCTCACTATGTAGTTGAGACCGACCTGGAACTCACTATGTAGCCCAGGCTGGTCTCGAACTCACAGTGATCCTCCTGCCTCAGCCTCCCGAGTGCTGGGATTACAGGTGTGCGCCACCATGCCCGGCTGAGTTTTTTTGTTGTTTTGTTTTGGTTTTTTTTGGTACGGGATCAAACTCAGGACCTTGTGCTTGCAAAGCAGGCGGAGGTACCGCTGAACTACATCCCTGACTCCTTGAGGTTTTCATTGTGAAATCATTTCATCAGTTTTGTCTGAGTGTCAAATACTTTTTTTTCAAAAAGGCTTTGTATTTTCATGTATTTTGAGCATATCTTTTTATTACCTTTAGAACTGCCTGTCAGAATGGATGATTTATATTTGAAGGTGTACATATGTATTATTTGGTTCAATCTTTCCCTCAGATATTATATATTCAACGTTAAAATTTCCAATTCCATTGAAACAAAGTTTTGTAACTGATATATGTTTTTATACCACAGCAGCCATAGCAGAATTTCAAAATGTATGACTTAAATTATTTTATTTTATTCTTAGTACCTGGAGCCTCCAGCTCAGAGCAGACAAGCACCTGGAAAAACAGGGAAGAAAAGTTTTCTGTGACAAGTTTTCTTTAGCTACTCACTCACCTCAGCTCACAAGACAAGGTTTTATAACAAGTACCACACACCAGCACAGGCCAAACAGTTCTACTGGAGCGGTGGAATCACCACGATTGTTTTATTTTTTTTCTTTCTTTCTTTCTTTATTTTTGTTTTTTTGTTTTTTTAAGATAGGGTCTCAGTAAGAAGTCCAGGCTGGCCTTCAACTCATTAGGTAGCTCAAGCTGGCCTCCTGGAACTTCCAGTAAACTTACTGCCTCAGCCTCCTGGGCCTGTAATTCTTGCTAGGATTGTAGGCCTGAGCTACCACACTCAGCTTAGCCACTACTATTAAATTCCCAGAAAAAAATTCTGGGAATGCAATTTCTCCTCTTATTGTCACAAAATAAAGGAAACACACATTATCTAAAGTTTCATTTCAATGAAAATTTAAGTCTCTTCTTTCCAATTTTTATTTGGCCCAAGACCAACCATGAAGGTCCCTCCTTTGGCTGTGTGTCTTGGGCTCTTCTTCAGCTGCTGAAGCTTGGTCTGTTTTTCACAGGAACACCAGGAGCAGAGTTGCCTCTTGTCAGTATCTCAACAGTCAGATGAATCTAACCTGAAGTCTCTGGTGTGTCTTTCCCAGAATTTTCAGGGGCCAGGAGAGCACTAACTCCTCTCTCTCTCACTTGTAAGGTTCAGAGCAGTGTGTGAACCAACAAGCAATAACAAGCAGGTGGATGTACACTGCTATTAAATATCCCATAGTGTTGCCAAGAAAAGGACACCGTCTTAGAAAGTGGAAAGGTGACTAGGGACAACTGCTTTGGAGGTTAATTTGGACATGAATTAGCAAAATTAGACATTTGATTAGAATTAGAATCAATCAGGCAATTCTATTTCCAGGAATCTGTTTTAGGGAAATTCTTGCACAGTGATCAAGGATATCAGTAGGTGCTAATTCTTTTTTTTTTTTTTTTTTTTTTTTTTTTTTTTTTTAGAGACAGGGTCTCACTATGTAGTTGAGACTGACCTAAAACTCACTGTGTAGCCCAGGCTGGTCTCGAACTCACAGTGATCCTCCTGCCTCAGCCTCCCAAGTGCGCGGATTACAGGCGGTCACCACCCCACCTGGCTGCTAATTCTATATAACAATAACCAGTAGAAACAATTTCATGTCTGTCAGTTGAGGAACATTCCAAGAAAAGATATGCAGTTGTCAACAAAAAAGTTTCACTCTCTTTATAATGCATCAGGATATCACAGTTCACATTATTCTTCTAAAGTTAAATTCTCCAAGCTCTTCCAAAACCTATGGAGATTTCCCTTTCAAATATTTTTACACCCAGGTTTCTAAAATGTAGGAGGGAAGTTTGGATTGATTGTGAATGTATGGTGATAGGTTTCCACATCGAATCTCTTAAGCGATCCTGTCCCCAATGATGTTGCTTCATTACTGCGACTGGGTGCTAGTTGGTCACTTTCATTTTGCACTTAATCTCAGCCAAAAGGCAGAGAAGCGGTGTATCTTTCATTTTGAAGCGAGCTTACTTGTTTTTGAAAATTTATCACATCATAATTTGTATCCTGACATTGAAGGTATTTTACTCTTTTTTGAAGATATTTTGAAGGTATGAGAGGGCTGGGGATTTAGCTCAGTGGTTCTGCCGCCTGCCTAAAAATGCAAGGACCCGTGTTTGATTCCTGGTTCCTGAAACAAAATAAAAACTACGAGAGTTCAGTTCTTTTATTCCAGTGGTAGACATTTGCATAATCACAATTTAAAATGTACAATTCTTTTTTTCTTCTGGAGTTTGTTTTATTATGGAAAATAAAGAATAGCGAGACCATTTCATTCATTAAAATAAGAAAAAGATGCGAAAGTAAACAAGTGGTAATACTGCACTGAAAATTATAGTGGCTAACGTTTAATAAAAATTTATGAAGTGCTTTATGTTAATTTCTCATTAGATGTTAGATGAACCCATTAGTGCTCTCTTTTATAAACAAGGAAACTGAGCAACATGTTCACAGTCACAAGATTTCAGTCCTTAACTTGCTTGGCTGTAGTGAAAATTTGGGTTTCCTGGTTCTCAATTCATAGGGTTTTCAAGGATGTGAATTTGTGAAAACTCAGCTTTGGCATGTAAGGAATTGCGTGCAGTGACTCTGGAGTAAGCGCTGACGCCCCCAGGGTCTGCTGGGGGAAAACATCCCTTGTGCGTGGATCTTTGAGTCTTGCCCCGCATTTTCAGCGTTTGATTTAAAGCTGACAGAGGTTCCAACAATGAGCTTGCTTTGAAATAGCTAGAAAGCTCCCTTGAGTTAGTAAAAGAGACCGTCCCTGGGTGGGCTCGAACCACCAACCTTTCGGTTAACAGCCGAACGCGCTAACCGATTGCGCCACAGAGACACGCAGACCTGGTCGGCGAACTCGTTTCCCAGTCTCAGAAAGTGCTTTTTAACCTCGGGACCGCGGACGACCTCGGGCCTCGGAGGTGTGGCCCGGACACCCCGGAACCGGAAGCGGGAGACCCTGGGGCCCACCGTGGCTCCGCCGGGCACTAGGGCCTCAGCAGGGGCCGGA